TCTCATAGGGAGTCTGGCAGGTGAAAGTTCTTTTAACAGAACCGACTTGGTATGCTCATGCAGCAACTTCCGGTAGCCGAAGCTAAAACGGCTGCAACGTTTTGATCTGGTTTGCTCGTGTTTCTGCGCATGCCGTTTGACCTAAAGAATGTCGCATGAAGATTCCAACGATTCATGGATTAGGACATTCGTGGTTTAGACTTCGGTTACATGCGTCTCGACGACCACCTAATCGCGAGGTCTAAATGCGAGGAGCAACTTGACCACATGCGAACGCTTTTTGACCGCTTTCCCAACAAGGAGTAACGATGACCGCAAAATACTTTTCATTTGGGGTCTACTCCTTCAGCTTTTCGGCCACCCTATCTCGCCTGCAGGCAGCTTAGAACTACAAGCTGAGATTATGGCAGTCGTCGACTATCCCAAGACTCACTCCTTCAAACGAGTAAGAAGCTTTAAGTGCTTCGGCAACTTTATAGCCGTTTCATACCTAGTTGCGCGCCACATATGCGGCTGCTCACGGACCTTGCTCGGAAGGAGTTTCGTGAGTTCATTTTACTGCTGTAGCACGCCCCACCTTCAGGGCTTCCAAAGCAGCTATTACTGACCTAGATTCTGTTGCGCATTATGACCCGACGGCTCCCCAGTCATTCAGTACCGAAGCATCAGACGTGGCAGTTAGTGCCGTCTCACAGCAAGAAGTAGGTGACGAAAAGCAACCGCTGGCGTTCTTCTTATGCCCAAGACATCCCGAATAGCTTTACAGTACGTTCAGTTGCGGATTATTAGCCGTCTACATATGCATAAGTCATTCCGGACGTGTCTTAGAAGGCCGCACCTTCATCGTTGCCCCCGACCACATGCCCTTGACTAAGGTTCTCGGCCCGCCCACCAACTGACACTGGCCTAGGTCAGCGCAACCTGGACTATAAAAATAAATAAATAAATAAATATTTTATTCTCGACTATGCGAGGCACGCCCATTGAGGCATGATCAGGTATGTACAGCTGTACAGACATTTTATGGGAATTGTAGTGACAGTAGAAAATTGTTCATATGTCCATGCTTGGAACTGTGCAATAGTGAACATGCGAAACAACGATTTGGTTGTAGTGGGATCGGGATCCATTTGTTTGGACATAATCGCTCTGCCATATATCGCAGTCATACCTCGACTAATAATAGATTGAGAATCCTGAGTGATCCATTGGAAGATAATTGAAGAGTAAGCTATCCAGTATGATGATTCTAATTGAGTTGCCAGTATGAAGTTATGGGCTGTGACTTTATTCGGTGGCGAGTCACATTCGCCACGTTGCAGTGTGGTTAAACGGACATTTGTGGCATTTTATAGGGAGAACGCTTGCCAGGCGAAAACCCACCACGTCCTGAAACACTACCGCCAATCCATTGAATGGCAAGTTGTAAATGGCTATGTTTCTTATTGAACGATTTTTGCTCCGTTATTCGCAGTCAAGTTGGGTCCCAATTTTCTGCTGTCTGATGCGTTATGCGAGTGGCCATTGCGTGCCTGGGTTCTCTCCTGTGCCAGATCGGTAGGTCAGGAACTAAGCATTCTTTCTGGATTTGATGTGTTGAAAATCTGCAGAACCACGTGAAGCCTCGAAGAATATACGTTGAAATATGTTGAAGTCTTGGAGGATAGGATAGGTTCCGAAGAAAGAATCGCAGATCCCCGGGGGTATGTAGTGAAACTGATTAGAAATATGGGAAACCACGGCCATTTGAGCGGTCAAAGCGAATTGAAGAGCTTAGAATGACCGATTGTTCAAGCTTTGTATTGGCAGGAGAATGTGGCTTCCGTAGTCGAAAGTCCTCCAGTCAAGAGATATGTGGAAGAGGTATTGTTAGGTAAACTGAACTCAGTGGTTCTTGCCGCGGAAGAATTGTATCAGTGCAAGATATTGAATGATTTGTCCGGTTAGTAAGTTGTAAAAAAGTTGATAATTTTCCGCTCATGTCCAGGTAAAGGAACTATGTGCCTTGTATTGTTGTCGAAACGGAGGACAATTCCTTGGGTGCGTGTCGCCGTACCTGTGACAGACTCGGACTTGCACAACGCCGTCACAGACGTACTTATTAGCATTCAAACGCTTTCCGCTGACGCACGCACTGCCATCGAGTTAACAGCGAAGCTCAATCCTGCTGAGGTTAAGTTGCTCCGCAGGTCCCCTCAATGGACATACCACCCGTTCCCGCGACGTCATCAGACGCAACTATAATTTGCGATTTAGCTCTGGGCACGCCGCGATCAGTCGTCCCACTCGAGTTTCTACAGGCATTGTTCGACACATTGTAAGGCTATTCTCATCCAGGTGGGGGTGCGTCGGTCAAACCCGTAACCATAAGGCTCCTATGGCACGCTATCAATCGTGACGTTCCGACGTGGGCACCTGCCTGCTTTCCATGCCAATGCACGAATTTGCAAATGCCCACAACCAACCCATTAGATACGGTTCCGACCCTAGACATCCGTTTTCAGCACTGCGGGTCGACCTCGTAAATCCTCCGCCGCCTTCGTAAGATTCGGTATGTTTGCCGTGTCGACCGATTCCCAGGAGGCCGGAGGCTACTCTGATTGTAAACTGAGGTTCGCAAAAAGACGCGAAAACGTTTTCAGAACGATGCGTAACACAGTATGGCTGTCTGGTCATTGTGTTAAATACTAGAGGGTCAACTGTCTTGTCTAGATTTGCCACGTAGCTTAAGAAGTTGAGTTGCCTCCACTTCCATACGAAGGCGTATCATAAGTAGTTAACGTGCTGATGGGGCGGTTTCGCCGCCAGTTTAAGGCAGCGCTACGTGCGCAAGGCGATTTTGCATGATCTCACACCCTTACATCCTCCTCCTTGGCCTATGAGACACGGCTTAAACCGAGTTCCACGCAACACCAGTGGCTAGGCCATGGATACAAGCCGCGCATTCCCGAACGGCTGATAGTACCAACACCGTCCACTCTCTCCGTCGACTATAAAGTTGTACCGGCTGACTGGCTCACCAGATGTGGTGGGTGTGACAAGCCACGGAATGAAGTCACTGCACACAACTACATACGGGCGAGTAGGCTAAAATCATTTTCCAAGCTTTTCTTAGCTCCTAAAAGAATAAGGCACTTGCTGTCTAAACCAACATTTTCACCAAAGGTACAGCGCCTTGACTGTTTGCACTACACACACTACACACTTGACGAGTTTATTCCTGTTGATGAATTTTACCATCTCCACAGGGTATGCTACTTTCGATCGCTGCCGATTACGAACATAGCAACGTGTCAGCTGCGAATTATAACAGCCTGAAAAGTTTGAGGATGTCTGCTTTGGTGTGCCTCGATAGATTCCAGAATAAACTATTCACGTAGTTATAGGTGGTAAGCTGCGCCTACCTGATTCACGTTCGTAGGAGACGTCGTTGTGCGTGCCCGAAAAACTGCCTCCTTCCTCACAAGTACTACTTCGTGTAAATGGTGATCGACAGCATTTGAAGCCGCCGTTGCTCAGACACACAAAAGTAATTAAGTGAACAAATAAGCCAGTTACGATCGACAACGGTGGCGGACATGAGACCGTTACCATCGGCCGTAAAGAACCCGCCTATATATAGTGGTAACCACGTCACATACATCGCCTATCAATGCTGCTTGCGACGTCAGAACTAAGCGCAATTTTTAACAACCCAAAGTCATCGAACCAGACCACGCTCCCGTTCTTAAAGCATCAGCCGTTCCGACAGCATCCGAACCCAGGCTTCGCCTCCCACGACCAACCGGAGAGGTAGAGGTTTTTAAGCGCGTTTGGTTTTCCGAGTATATAGAGCGTAAATACGTTTAGGCTTGTAGATCTTGTATATACTTGCCCAATTCTTAGTCGCTTAAAGTTTTGAAACAAATATAAATAAGAAACTTTCGAAATGAATGCTAAAAATTTCCAGAAACCAAAATACCGAAGCACTTTCACACAGATCATTCGTACTTTCTTCGGCGTCTTCTGCATGTTTTTCTGCTTTCTCGTGATTGCATGCTCCCCATCTCCTTCACACGACCAGCTCACAAGAACAAGGTTTTGCGAATCGCTGTAGTCAACGAGGAGCCGAAAACGTATTTGGGACATTTATCCACGGGACGGAAGCCGTTTCTTCATGAGACGATGGTCATTTCTTTGTGAAAGGTGGTTTCTTTTTGGGACAAGGGACGTTCTGACGCAGGGTGTGGTGTTGCGAAAGAGAAGTCCCTCGCAGGTATAACATTTGGCAGTAGAAAAAGTTGATGTACTCACGGAGATTTTTGGGCTAGCCTGGTCCCTGTAGTCTGAAAAGCAAAGTGGAACGACTCAGCCGAACCTATCATGCCCTACAATTAATAGATAATGTATAGCATACAGCACGGCGGTCTCCGACTGCCCACCAACTCTCATTTGGCACGAATATTCGCACATTTTTATTCGGCACGGATTTACCCAACAAACCCCGCTGCATGCATTATCCCACATCGAAGGCTTCTACTGTTCCGTCTTCTAGGTGGAGCACTGCGTCGTCCTTAAAGATAATTACTAGCTTTTACGTACAACTTCAATGCTGACCAATTGTATATTACTAATACTGGTTTTTAACCTCCCTTACACTAAGAGCAGCGGCCTACGTCCGGTTTATCATAATTAGGATTGGTGAGTCCTGTACTGACTTTTGCTCCTTTGCATTTTATGCGTCTTTCTTTTGTTGTAACGTCACAATACAGTCCTTTGGGTCCGACGTTTCTGCCTTCTTTTATCCACGCTCGGTCAGGCGAATCGTAACCGACCAGTATCTACTAGTCCCACAATGGAATCAAACCTAGTCGTCCCTTTAACTTGTAACCTTAATCCTCGTGGACCGGCAACATTGGGCATATCTGGGGTTTCTCTAGCTATTTCGCTCACAATTGACCCCATCATTTAACGATAACAGTGACAGTTCGAACTTGTTTGTTTACTGAAAATTTGGTGCCCTAAGATATTCCTGTTAGTTCCACCAATGACTTCTGTATTTGCGGTGTTCCCGTACCGCATGTTGTTTTTATCATTTGTGGAGTAGTAACAAGGTCGCGAGATGTTACCCACCGTAGCGGAGTATAATTCAAGAGGAGATGTTGGGCTCTATTCACGCGCAGTGAAAACTAGAGATTGGTTGTCTTGATAAGCTTAATATGCATTTACCATAGGTGGAATATCCGGGAATCAGAACCGCGTGGTTATGACTTTTCTTCTGATCCCATCAGGTCCTGCCAACTCTCTACGTATCGACGGCTCGGTGTTGATGATAGAGTACTGTGAATAAAATCATTATGAATTTAGTTTTCAGGTGAAACGACTTATATGGCATTTTGTTCGGATAGACTAAATACTGCCTTTAAGCAAAGGCGACAGATGCTTTTTGCGTGTGCTACGCTGATGGATCCAATAAAGCTGAAAACTCTATCGTTGCTAGAAGAAAATTACTCTTCTAGGAATACCTTTCAAGCTAATTCAACATACCGCAACGACTTTGTTATCCCAACACTGGAAGCTTCCAGTACAAGTGTAAGTCAACTTTTCGTTATGCTTGACTAAAAGATAAGATGCTTTTATAGCTTAATAGTGTAGAGAGCAGGATAGTAAACACCCTTTACCAGCTCCGTCGCTTCCCATTCATTCGCTGGATGATGCTTATTGTTGTTAACCTGTGTTCCTTGAGAGATCATCACAGCTGCAGCAAAACTGTAGCGGCTGGGAGCTTTCTCACGCTTGTTTGTATAGATCTATCTGAAATACAATGAAAGCATCGTTTACTCATTCGTTAGGGAAGCAGGAGATTTGCTTGTTCGTATGTTGGCTAGTTTTGTTTGAGTCACACACACTCTGGCTTTCTCTGTGGCCTTTTAAGCTGACACGTCGCACTTAGCACTCAATCACATCTTCCCTGGCTGACACTATATTAGTGCCTTACTTTTAGCCCTATATCGTGGCAACCTATCAATAAACCTTTTGGTAGCTTATTTCTGTGTGTTCTGCACGCTCTTGACTGGCCGTTTCATATGAATACTTAGTATATACCGTCCGACCGAAGTGCTATAAAAGCAGCGAAATCCACAAGCTCTCAGCATGTAATTATCCAACCGCTGGTACAAACCTTGATATGTCGGCACTGTTGGCCGGTGGCCTTGTGGTTTACGTGCTTGCTTTGCAACCATAAGGTCATCGGTTCGAATCCGCGTAGGGGGTGGGGCTTCTCTCGGTCTACATAGCCGGCGCGCGACTGACGGTGGTCGCGTAGCAGCGAAGCCCCGTTACGGAGTACAGCTGGTATTAGTTTTTATTATTTAGCTCTGGGCACTGAAAACACATTCCGGGAATTCGTTCCATTGATTCACGACCCGGGTGGATGTGCCGTCGTAGCGGACGTAAAGCCTCCGCGGTTTAAACTGTATCCAACTGTGACCCAGTGTCAGTTATTCGCGTTCATTTTAAACAGTTGTCACACTTCCGTCTGCGATTCTCCTTTATAAATGCGTCTGGTGCATATCAGGCCGCAACGGTGACGGCGATAGTCCATAGAGGACAGGTTCATACTCTGAAGCCTAAGGGGATTGGACAAGTCGTGCAGCACTGATAGGGATTTTGATCTACAGCTCTAAACCTCTTCGAATAAAGCATGCACAAAATCTAGGAGATGATGTATAACAGGCACTTAATTTTCCAGTATGGCACGGACCTAAAAAAGGAACAGGAGCCTGCGTATCTCAGGCGTCTTTTTTGAGAATGCTCTTCTTATGGCGCACAGTAACCTGTTGGCAGTGGCGATTTTCCGCTACATGTCCGGGGGTACAATCACACCCGGGTCTTCATCAGACGCCGCGTTGCTCAGCAGGAAACCACCTATGTGGCAGGCGCTGAAAGAGTCTGGAGAACTGAGTAGGGGGACACAGCATTTAGCACGGTTGATAGGTTGTTCCACTTTGCAAATCAGTCGTACAGCAAATCGAGTGTCAGTTGCTATTTGTTCGAATCTTTAAACCTAGATACCTCTGACCATAGTTTAAGATCATCGGCGTAGATCAATCTGTCAGTGTAAAGCGCCTCTGAGAGGTTGTTGATAAAGATTTTGAAAAGTTCAGAACCAAGGACTGAGCCCTGTGGAAATCCACTGGTCATGTGAACAGACCCAGAGAGAACCTCATTAACCTTCGACCTCATGGTGAGACCATCCAGGAAAACAGCAATCCAGGAGGGAACACTTTCAGTGGTTCCACGATTCAAGAGCTTGGTAAGAAGCCGTCTATGTGAAGCGTTATCGAATGCTTTGCTGGAATCAATAAAAACAACATCAAAGTGATTATCTAATACACTGAATTTGATCACTTATCGCGGGCCACAAGCAAGTTAATGGTACATGTGCGTGCTCTCCGAAAGCCGTGCTGATCAATAATAACCAGAGCCTTGAGATAAAGCTGAAACGCCCTTCTAAAAGTCTTTTCCATCGTGTTGCAAATGATCAATATCAGGCAGACCGGTCTGTAGTTCACAGGATCCTCTTGGTTTCCGTCTTTGTGTATGGGCTTCACAATACCTATTTCCAATAAAGCGGGAGACGGCGAGCCTTGAGGGAGTTAGTTCAAGGAACGTCCCACGGAAAGCCGCACACACCACGGACAGGAGACGATCGGAGCGGTCCAAGCATGGACGGTGAAGACACTCAGGGGCCGCAGCTAACACCCGTCGCATGCACACGCTGTGCGAACATCATCAGCCCAACTTCACATATAGCAGACAGCGTCTACAAACACTCTAAGGATGAGCCATCACCGTTTTACTGTGCCTCTTATTTGTGCTTAATTCCACTTGGTAACCGCATTGATGGCATTTGCTTTCCTGTTCCTATATCTGTCTCCATCTATTATTGATGCTCACACTTCCGATTAAATTAAGTGCTGTCATTTGAGTTCACATCCAAACGTTAACTAAATACCGACAGTCGTAGTGCTTGCTTATATCGGTATGTGCAATATTGCAAAACCATAGGAATATGACTGATAGTCTTACATTCAATGCAAACTCTTGCACGTTCGTAGCGTTATTGTCCATGAGGGTTACTGTTTTTCTATTCAGTTTGTGGTAGTCCGCACACAATTATAAACAAATGCAGGTGAGCGTACGTGGATATGCTGGGTACGAACTGCAATTATCCGCTCGCAACACTGCAGAACTGCAACTCGGATTCGGGACATGTTGTATGTCAACTGATATCTCTGCTAGCAGCGAACGGTGCTCGTCGCCATGTTGGATGACTAAGTGGAAGCCATTTAGAAGCACTTGTAAGCGCCACATTTACACTTGACGGATTGACCGCATTTTCAAACGCATGACACCATTATCTGATGGCTCGATATCTAACTGAGGCCTGCACAGATTACAGGTAGCGCCAACATCTGTTCGTGTCTCGTTACTTTCCAAGTTGATAGATGGATTGTATTACAATTCATTTCGTGACACCAGAATTTATTTCGGGCTTTGCAATAATGCCAACGTAGCCCGGTCAAGTGCCCCTGTACGTCCACTTGCACTGCTGTCGCCTTCAGGTACACGCACTGAGATTCAGACAAATAATCAGTTTTAACCCACGGACAGCATAAACACGATGTGACATCCAAATGGAAATGCTTGGACACAGGTAGCATTCTAGGCACTGGTGAATTTGTCGAGACGTGCTATCGCCCAGAACGGGCGACCAAGAGGACAATAAATGATAACACACGACTGACTGACCAGCGGTTCCACACACATGTTAATTCTCGGTTACCTCAGACAAGAGATGATCAAATCGGCACTGGCTTACCTTCCGACACGGATAGCTAGCAGGTTATTTGGGAGACAGCACTTACACACCAACGATAAGTCATAACAGTACCACTGTGCTTTCACTTCTGTTTTATGTCAAGTGGTAACTTTATCAATGTTAGTAGCCTCATACTGATCATCTTGTCAATCAATTCCTCATTGCGGCGTTTGTTTTGCTTGCACCACGACTTGGACCAACACCACTCTACTGATACTCCATTTCATTTTCACGCATTTTATATCATCTGGTATCATTTCTTTCTTTATAGCTCTTGATACCAGTTCCTGGATTACTTGGTAACCATACCAACGCAATTCACTTACTGCTACTGCGTATGCGCAGTTCAACGAAAATAATAGCACCCGTCGCTGATGTTGTTCGTCGAGCCATCAAAATTCAGGTGTCACTTTACCTCACACACTGTAGTGTCCAATCAAAATTTACCCATCATTCGTCCCTTGCTTCTCTTCGGGTTCCATAGCACTCCTCTTTCGTCCGTCCCCATCCCCATCTCGCCCCAACCAGTCTTTCACCCCACCCCCGAACGAGACAAATCCACTCATATATCCGCCATGGATATAAGTATCCAACCGTGGCCGCAGGCCAGCACGCCAAACACGCACAGTTGGATGCTGGAATGTGCGCACACTGCACGATCGAGGCACTAATCATCGACTTACGCGAGGAACCGCATTAGTCGCTATGGATCTTGCTCGCTACGACATTGATATCGCAGCGCTGAGTGTGAGCCGAATGACCGCCCAAGGCAAATTGCGAGACGATAGTGCTGGGTACACTTTTCACTGGATTGGAAATGCTGACGCAGCACCACGTGAACAGGGCGTCATATTTACAATTATTTACCGCCTGGGTAGGCGCTTGACGGGGAGCCGATTGATGTCGCTTCGTGTATGTTTCAGACCGGGTAAGTTCGCATGTGTGGTCACACTATGAGTTATCCGGATGACACGTAATACCATTTCTACTCACAATTGGCCTCTATTATAAGGTCTATGCCGATGAGTGTCCGACTATTCCTGATAGATGACTTCAATACACATGTAGGGCGTGATGCCACATTGTGGGCTAAGGTGATTACGCCGCACGGGATTGGGGTAGTCAATGAAAACGGAGAGCGCTTGCTTTTATTGTGTACCACACATTGTTTGAAGATCACGAACACCCAGTTTGCTCTGTGTGATAGTGACGTTGTTACATGGACCCACCCAAGAAATGAACGTGCTCACTTGCTGGATTACATCATCGTACGTCAACGGGACATGCGTGAAGTGAGCATAACGCATGCAATGCGTGAAGATGAATGTAGGAGTGATCACCAGCTGATGCGCACAAAGGTCGACATAAATGTCTACAAATAATCATACTTTCTAGCGAGTACCAATCGGCAGAAATGCAACTTCCGCGTCATTTCGAGTGCATAAAAGAGACAAGCACTAGAGGATGCCATAACGGCCCGTCTAGGCGAAGACGACTCCTAGGCTTCGGTCAGCGTTCCATGGGACAACTTAAAGAAACTGGTGACTATTGCTACGAAGATGATTGAGTGCACAAACTGTAAGCCGCCCGACTGGTTCGATGAGAAGAGTACGACGACTGAGCCATTAGTACGAGCAAATAACGCAGCGTTCATTGCATCTGAGGTTGACCCTAACAACGCGATGAAGAGCAATCCGTTGCGTCACAT